GGTGTCCTGTGATGCCGGGGTCCGCTTCGTGCCAAGTGTACAGTCCCCCCACCCTGTGGTGTTCCTGTGATGCCGGGGTCCGCTTCGTGCAAGTGTACAGTCCCCCCCACCCTGCAGTGTTCCTGTGATGCCGGGGTCCGCTTGTGCAAGTCTACAGTCCCCCCCACCCTGTGGTGTTCCTGTGATGCCGGAGTCGGGTTGTGCTGCCTCACCTGCACCAATACCAGAACCAATGCACATTCAACAAGTGATTGAACAAGTGAAACAACCTGGACCACTGAGGCCATGGGAGGATAAGTTGTTGGCTCCTCTTATCAAGAGGAAGCTGACTTCATCCTCCCATGGTCTCATAAAGTGCAAGACTGGAGGGCAAGTGAGTGTTATCAATACATTGTCAATCATTTGTGACCAGTTGTCAATAATAAATAGTTGGCAGTATTTGACATTTATCATCAAAATCAATGATCTGCAATTGAAGTTCATCTTGTCTACACTTAGTTACAAATATTTATCAAGTCTATCAAATCAGAAACAACAAAAAAATACATACATACATTCAATGCATCCTCTAATACATGTCTTTACCTCTATTGTATACAATAAACCAGCTGATACAAATCAATGAAATTAATTACATTGAAAACAGATTATATCACAGATTATATCACTTAATCACCTTAGAGATTTTTCATGATCCTGCCTAGGAAACAATTTTAACGTGGAATAGGTACATTATTATTAAGACTTTTTTTACTGTCCAAAAATTACAGCCCATAACACTAGTGAAAATACACAAGTGCACGCAAACCAAAGCTCGGAGGCCAGCTCCTCTACTGTAAGAAGAAGGACAAGTGAACTACAGCAGGCACGTGCAGCAGCTAGTGGTGGGGAGGAGCAAGCCCAGCTTGTAATGGAACTCCGGGCCATCACGAGACAGGACCTGGCGCGAACACTGCAGGAGCTTAGCTTAGACACCATCCGCATCCCAACAGGTCACCTGTTATCAGCCATCACCGACATTGGCTTGACCTGTAGCCAAGCAAGGAAATGGAGAAGGTTCGTGTTACATAATACCAACATATCTTTAGATAAGGTATGTTCTATGCCATTCGAATCATTCAGACATACCACAAATTCTTTAGGTCTAATAGAGTGATCAGCTCTAGGCTACGTACAATGTTGTAAATCAATAGCTGTTCAAATAATGTTACTGTGTCCCTTCTGCAAAATCTATGTATGAGGACATGAAGCATGTACTTATAAGAAAAAAATGTTGATCACACAGATGGATGAAGGGCTACAACATTGTTGTTGAAAGTGAGCGAAAGTCGAGGGCCGTCGCAGCAGATCTGCTAAAAAACCAAGAGGTTGAGGCAGAACTGCTCCCCCTGGTCATAGGGAGGAAGAGTGAAAAAGTGGTGGCACTTCGGCCATATGCCAGGGTACTGAACCTGGAGCTGTCTGTCAGAGACACCATAGACAAGATTGACACTGCTGCGTGAGTAAAGAGATTAATATTACTAGTAGTAATCCTTGCTGAAAATAATACAAGAAATTAGTAAAGGCATGGACAAAGCAATCAACATATAGAGGTAGCCCCATGGAATATATGAGAGCATATATGGCAAGGTTGGGAAAAAAATATATGAATAAAGTTGCATTAGAAATATATTATATTATTTCTGCAAACCTGCATCATATTGTTATAACTATTCTGTTGACAGACATCTAACATGGCACGAAGGAAAGATACCTGCTACTGAAGTATGGATAAAGGTGCTAGGTGATCACGGTGGGGATCTATTCAAAATGGGATACCAAGTTCTCAATCAGAGCCACCCCAACTCCACAACCACAGTGTTCTGCACATTTAAGGCGAAGGATTACCGTGAGAACTTAACTGCAGCCACCGATACCCTCTGTGCTGAGGTAGCAGCATTACAAGGGTCAACATGGAGGTAAATTACATAAAATATAAAATTGTATAACTCTTATGTTCAATAGAAAGTTTGTAATTCTTTTCTTAGACCATCTCAGTAATGTTAAATCAATTTTCTCCCTTCCAGCCTAATTAACTGCTGCCCTGACTTTCATGTGTACTTCACAACTTCCTGATGTTTTTTTCTGTGAAATTGATGACATGTTTTGATGATGCATCTTGATAAGATACAATCTGACCAGATCAATTTCACATATACCTTATCCAATGGGGAAAATCTGAAAATTCCGGTCAAAGGTGGTTGCTATGTGCTGCTAGGGGAGCCAGCACCCATTTTCATTGGGGTCTTAGAAAATGATTTAACATTACTGAGAAAATTACTATTGTTAGCTATAAGAAGTGAATGTGCTTACATTAATCAAAGGTTTTCCTTCATCTTCAGTTCCCCAGATGGCAGTGAGTTTCAGCTCCGGATTTTCGTGGCTGGAGACTACGCCATGTTGTCAGCATGGTATGGACTGTCAGGAGCCTGTGGTAAGAGTGCAAATCAGTTTGTGACAATAACGCAAAAATATTGAGAAATGCTACGAGAAAATGCTGTATACAAGCCATACGAGTATGCAATAACTATAAATTTTGGCTTATGGATGCAATAAAGTGATTGTTTAAGGGCTAAAATATGCATCTTTTGTCCTGCTTTTGGGGGAAATGGAAGTAATTTGAACAAGATTATTATTTAACGACTGAAACCATCTGTAGCTTTCATTTACTTACAACTACTTACAAGCTACAAAACAATTGTGTAGCACTTCTCACCACTTCCTAATCCCAAACAAAACTCAGAGCCAACGATAGACTGCCATTGCACACTATATAGATGGAGACAATTAATATGCCCACTGACTTTCCTCATGTAACAAGTTGCCTCCTGTTGCAAACAGGCACATACCCTTGCTTATGGTGCGAACAGCCAAAAGCAGGTATGAAGGGTGGACAAGGGCCAGGAGACACGGCACCTCCTAAGCGGACACTTGAATCACTCGCCAACAACTTGCAACAATTCCAGAATCAAGGCCATGGCGACATCCGGAAAGCGAAACACTTCAAGAATGTCATAAGCAGCCATATGCTGGATGTGCCCATTGAACAGGTAAGGTAGCTTTTTTAAAAAAATGTGTTACAGTAATATCTGTACACTTTCCAACATCAGATGTTTTCATAAAACACCTATTCCTTAATCTAGCAAACTGCTTATCTTTCACCTCAGGTATGCATCCCTGCCCTGCACATCAGCCTAGGGATCTTTCACAAAATGTTCCACATGCTTGAAAAGGATCTGCATGATTTAGACATGTTGATGGCTACACACCTGTCAAGAGTCCAACTGGCTGATCCCGAGGTGGACAGCGCGGAGCTGCTCATGCATCCGGACCTCTACACCCTGGCCCGGTACGTGGAGTCTGTGGAAGAGGCAAGAGAAATTGAAGAGGAGATTGAAGAGGTAGCAGAGGAGATGACAGAGCTAGAAGACCTCCTGGCCTGGGCGCTGCTGCAGGGACAACACGACACACTCAATGTGTTGTCCCTGCAGCTGCGCTACCAGAAGAAGGAGAAGGAGAAGGAAGAGCTGGTAAGATTAGTGAATAACCTAAAATACCATTTGATCAATTGTAAACATGGCATCTCGAGTTTTTAAAGTAACCGTTCAAGCAAATTGTTATCTGTTTCAATAACTGCCCTGCAGACATTGAAAGCTGAAGAGATTAGAGACAGAGGTGGAGTGAAAACATCAGAGGGTCCATTGACCAGGCTGCTAGACCCGGTACTGCAACGACATCACGCTAAGAGACAGGCATATCACTCCCAGGCATTCGTGGGAAACCACGTGAATGCTATGCTGAAGGTATTTAGAACTGTTCTTATTTAGGCTTACTAGTATTTCTACATGAAGCTTTGAATTCCATGTAATAAGATCCAAATGAGACAAATGTTCAAGTAGGGTTTTTCTTCTACCCTGACCTCTGAAATTAAATTATCACCTTACAAATTTTGAGACCCTTTTCTATAACTATCAAATAATATTTATTTAATACATTGCACTTGTCCTTTGCAGGACGCTCCTATCAAAGAGCTGACCTCTGTTGCGGCTAACAAAGCAGAGGAGTTAATGATGGAGCACGATTTCCCCGTCGGTCTGTTCACACGGGCAAAAGACCTGGAGACCAAGTACAGCAGATTGTTCTCACTCTTCAGTACTTGCCATCAAAACTACTCCCATGCAAGACCTGTGGGAGAGGCAGAGCTGTCCTCACTTGGTGAGGACTGTTTTAACTCAAAGTGAAAAAAAACTAGGATTGACATGGTTTGTGTAAAAACACATACACACAAAAAAATTACTTGCTTGTGGCCTAAATGGTATTTTCAATAATAATTCTAGTAATATAAATGGAAGGGCTGAGTTAATGTAGCTAGAATGTACAGTAGAATTAACTGATGTGACAAAATACAGACTAAATGTAATCATGTTAGTGATGCATACCTAAACCCAATTTCAGGTTCAGGTCCGGATTCAAGTCCAGAGGTTTAGGTTCAGGTCCGGACTTAAGTCCGGACCTAAACCCATGGCATATACAAAATTGCATGTTGGCAACCTTGCAATGTTGCCTGGGTGAAACTTTGGCCACATAACATGGAGGCTGGTACTTGATCGATGCCTGATGGCAATGTTTTCTTCATTTTGCAGCAAAGATTTTGGAATCTATGGAAGGCTTTAGGTGGTTTAAAAAGAAAAGGGGTATGTGAAATGGTCTTTTAATTTTATGGTAATAAGTCCGGACTAGGTTCTTGACTTTTATTTTTTTTTGGACTTGAACCTAAACATTTTTACAAGTCCAGATCCAAGTCCAGTGAACCGGTATGCACCACTAAATCATGTGCAATAATCTTACTGAGTACATTTCTTTTCACAGATCATAACATTAGGGAATTCATGGCGTACTTCCGGGCGACATTTCCTAATGCAAGTATCCCACCCAAGATGCATCTACTGGAGGCACATGTAGTGGAGTCCATGAGAACCTGGGGCTTCGGCCTTGGGTTCATGGGAGAACAGGGTATTGAGAGCATCCATGCTCAATTCAATACCATCATGCGGGCCATGGGAGGCATCAGAGGGGAGACAGCACAGTTAAAGGCAGTTCTGAAGCGTCACCTGCTCAAGTCTTGTCCAACAAGGGTCGGGGGAGTTCCCAACCCCACCCCACGAAAAAGGAATGACACTTGATTCAAATATGACTCGATTAATTGGTCACATAGACTTCTATTTACCATTTGTTATGCTTCAAAACTACTAATGTAGCTTGAAATGAGTTTCAGTAAACAGATATTTTGATGTTTTGGGAAAACTTGTTAGTGGCCGTCAGAAAAAAAAATCAACTGACTATATATATATCAATTGTCTGAATATCTATAGAAATTACCAATAAAAAAACAAATGAATAAATTTGCATTACAGATATAGTCATACGATTGATGCATACCACATGTATGTGGCTATGTTGGCTAGAGTTGGCATCCTTTAACAACTATTCAACTATGTCTAAAAGTTTTCAAAGCTAAAGAAAGCACAACATTGGCATTCTTTGCCAGGGCTCAAAATAATGGGTGCAAGTATGCACCTTTGTGCAGGGAAAATTGGAGCTGTGCATGTATTTATGATTGTCTACCTGCAACTGACCTGCACTGGTGTAGTACTGGTTTATATACATGTACAGGTGTATGTGGATTTTCATTTGGTACATTGACAGTTACTACCAAAGAAGTATAAAAGAAATAATGTTAATGGTTTCTGAACAGTTATTAGTATGATCCAAAGTTTGAATGGTGCAGGTAAACTTTGTTTGGTGTAGATTATTTTTAATGCAAACTGCACCAGAGGTATGCAGAAAAAGGATTTTGAGCCCTGTTTACAAAAGCAAGTAATTCAAATATTGTACATTACTATTTGTGGACTTCCTAATGTATTTCTGTTTGTATATTAAAGGGATACTAAGTTTTTGTCCTGCACAAGTGGGACTCCCTTCTTCATTTACAGTATCAAGGGCATTTATTCCCAGCAGTTCCTTAAAGTTTCCAAATAGGAGTAATGCCTTTGTGCTAGAAAATGATAAATGACTTGTACAATACCTTGAGATATAGGAAGTATGTAGAACTAGAAGTCACTCTCTTCTCATCCCTGGTACCTCCTCTTCTCCCATCACCCATCCTGTCTGAAGAACACATTTATTAGAAAACCCCTGACATGAAATGGTAAGGCTACTAAAAGCAGGTTACATCATTCTGTCTGAGGTACTGTGAGCATTGGTTGTATTTTCACAGTTTTCCCATTACGTCTTTTTGCAAAGTCCTAACAAGTGCAAATGTGTAGTTACATGCAGTAATAATTCTACTGCAATCACCAGAGGTGGTGCAACAAATAAGGCACCAATGCTAAGCAAGAAGAGACTGGTGCCTAGAGACTGGCAAATGTCTAATGAAAAAAAAATAAATGTTAATCAGGGACAACAACAACATATATCATAAATTATGACATAATTACAGAAACGTTTTATCCACAAATTACAAACACCTCAAAGAAAAACCTTTTCCCTCCTACTGCAAACCCAAATCACCACAAAATCACCACAATAGAAACAAAAGTTTTATACATTACTGTACAATAGTGGTTGACAATGTTGAACTTGGAAGAACGAAGAAGAATATAATTTTGTTGTGCACATCTTACTCTTGATTGTCGATTCTACATGCCCGGGCCTGCAAACACCTTTTATGATAAATCAATAGTGATAAAATACTATAGATATTAAATTAAATTAGACCATTAACTTGAATATGTGCTTGCAATTTTAGATATTTAGTTACTGTTTATATGAACAAAGTGTCCCATAAATCATATAGCTAATTTATGCTGCTCAGGAACCTAAAACACATCACATGTGTAATCACATGTGTAACTGTCTGTTTCTGGGAGTCCAGTTGAAATAATATCTTTTAAAGACTGCTATGGTTAACTTAAAATCAACTTGAATGGTCTTTCAGAGTAAGATGCACGTGTACACGCTGTCAAATATAGCTTATCTTACAATATTTCCCTGTTTCACTCGCCTATATTAATGCCACAATATTAGACAGTAGGATTCGTTTCGAACATATGACGTCAGCGCGGAGAACAAAACACCATCTCGTAGATTTACTACTGTACGAAGAAAAAAACCTTGCCAAAAAATCCGCCATTACTGACACAGTGCACATGTCATGGGCTACATGTTGCATTCTGCGTGCATCCAAAAAAAACTGTATAAAGCGTTCAAACGAGCAAGATATCTTACCTCACTCCGTCAGTTCGTCAAGAACTCGGCAATCCACTCTCTGTCGGTGAAAAACTCGATTATGATGAAAAAGTGGCTGTATTTTCGGCAGCTAACTTCCCCTAAAACCGTCGCCATTATGCCTACGAAGTTTCAGCAATGTAGCGCCTGCAGTTAGTGCGCATGAGCTGGGTCAAAGGTAGGGTGCCGTGTTGCGCAATAATGGGTAACGGGAGCATGGTATTTTCCCATATATGCAAATATAATTCATTAATATATGCAAGATGTATGCATACATGCAAGCACGTGCATTCATTACTACAACTTGTATACCCTATGTATCATAAGCAATTCATTCTACATATAACGTTACTCCTTTGCACTCATTCTTTCTACCTCAACCTAAGGCACTCCCACATACCCCTGCTCACTCTTACGCACCCTGAGCACTCTCACGCACCCTGTGCACTCCCACGCACCCTGTGCACCCCCATGCACCCTGCGCCACTCTCATTCAACCTCCCCAAACCTCATGCACCCTCACGCACCCTGTGCACCCCCATGCACCCTATGCACTCTCATTCAACCTTTCCAAACCTGATGCACCCCCATGCAACCTGTGCACTCTCATTCAACCTTCTTAAACCTGATGTACCCTCACGCACCCTGTGCACTCCCATTCAACCTTCTTAAACCTGATGCACCCCCACGCAACCTGTGCACTCCCATTCAACCTTCTTAAACCTGATGCACCCCCACGCACCCTGTGCACTCCCATTCAACCTTGCCAAACCTGGACACTTATTTTCTATCCTATAAACCTGATTCGCAGCTACTCACGAAGAGCCATTAAAATGGTAAACACATACTACTCCCTTTCTTTATTACTCTTTCTTTATATAATGGCTTGAGGAGAAGGGGTAAGCACCTGACACGTACGTTTTAAGGTGTAAAAAATTCTGTAGTTGCAGTTTTCGAATAGTTGCAGTAATAAAATTACAGCGGTGGAATATTGACAGCTGAATTTGCTCAAGTGAATGTTTAAAAAATCAAGAATTACAGTATTTGTGGGAGTGCACAGGATGCGTGGGGGTGCATCAGGTGTGGGAAGGTTGAATGAGAGTGCACAGCAGGTTGCATCGGGTTTGGTAAGGTTGAATGAGAGTGCACAGGGTGCATGGGGTGCATCGGTTTAAGAAGGTTGAATGAGAGTGCACAGGGTGCATGGGGGTGAATCAGGTTTAAGAAGGTTGAATGGGAGTGCACAGGGTGCGTGAGGGTGCATCAGGTTTAAGAAGGTTGAATGGGAGTGCACAGGGTGCATGGGGCCGGTGCATCAGGTTTAAGAAGGTTGAATGGGAGTGCACAGGGTGCGTGAGGGTGCATCAGGTTTAACAAGGTTGAATGGGAGTACGTAGGTTGCGTGGGGGTGCATCAGG